AGCGGTCTATCCGTATAACTCTGGTTTAGCACTTACAATAATAAAATTTCGGCAATTTTGTTTCAAATACTTAAAAGTAGAGTCATGTATTCCAGTCTAGCGCATTTAAAGATAATAAATCCCCATAAGAGCCTTTGAATTCAGTTTTTTTGTCTCTCCTGCAAAATTTACGAAATCGGAGTTGGACGGTTAAAATTCTCCGCCGACGATGTATAATTTTTTTTCATAGGCATCGGTTAATTCTCAAGACACTGCACAAGTAGTATCATCATTAAATTAAATTGTATCATCTCGTTTTGTTGTATAGACTATTGATGCAGCTCACTCCTCGCGAACGTCCCCACTGACTTATGGTAACTTTACATTGTAATGACTCAAGACCAAGCTGTTTGAGTTGTTCTCAGAAGCTCGGCTGGTAGAGAATGTTGGGAAAAAACCCAGAAAAAACGACATTCTTCAGAAGTGAAAACAGTGAAAACGAGGATTCGCGACGGATTGTGAATAGATCTGTGCTATTTTTATCATTGGGCTTCTCCGGAGTGACACAGTTTGCCAATAGGAAGCTGTTTAGGATTTACGCAAAATTCTTATTAAAACAGTCTTATTTTACAGAAAGAAAAAGATTTTGCATTTCTTGATTTTTAAAGTGTAAATATTGTAAAGTATTGTATGTCACAAATTCTTGCTACATGTTATTAAATGAATAAAAGCAATTTAAAAACAGACGTTGTCATTTAGTTTACGCTCTAACACATACCTGGCAGCCCCCTAATTCCAGTGAACAAAATAAACTTTTACTATTTTACTACTTTCAGTTTTCAGTTTTCTCAGGAGGATTCAGCCTGGTTGAAATAACTCAGTTTCAGTTTTGAGAATTGTTTTGAAAAGCGCTGGCTCCACTACATACGTTTGGAATTAAACGTTGGTAAGGTTTTACAGGCTTTTGCCTTTGCTTACGGACCTAAATCTAATTAACAATGTAATACTTTGTAGATGACATCCCTGCTGAACTGAAGTTGAATGAGTTCTGTTTTGTTTACGATTTTGAGTTTGTTATGGGTTTTTTTATTATGGTGCTATTGACTCACTGTGATGACTTGAGTGCTTTGTTTGGATTTTAGGCCTAACATGTTGAAAGGTCATGTCATAGTCTGGCATAGTTTAAGTTGTTAATGCTTTTGTTGGGGGCAATTATAAAAGCAGTTATAATTGCATATGATATGGTGTCTAAGTCTAATACGCTAATTCAGAACTAGATCTAGATCTAGATCTAACTTTTGTTGATATATTAATATGGCGGGGTGCCCACTATGGCACAGCTGGATCTCGCACGGTTGGGGGCAATTAAGCAGTTATAATTGCTGCTAATTGCATAATATGGCATATGGTGTCTAATACGCTAATTCAGAACTAGCACAGCTGGATCTCGCACGACTCGGTCGCCTGAAATCTGAAACTGAAAACAAACACGTTTGCTTTTGAGGTGACAGAGTCAGCCGATCGGGCCGATCCCTTCCGGAGTGGGCACCGCGTGTTACTTTACTTTTTACACTTCATTCCTAAAAATCTAGCCAATTGCATTATAAATGTATATAGATATGTTGATATCTTAGATAATCTAGATGTAATATTTGTGTCACAACATGGTTGAATCAGGCCCTGGTCAATTTTTGGGCATTTTGAGGTTTTTGAATTGGAATATCTCGAAGCCTGTTCATTTGCCTTGCTTTTGATGGGAAAAAATACTAATTTTATAATAATCTATATCTTGAATAGAAGTCAAGATATTTTTGACCTTGAGTGAGATATATGGGAGGTTACCGAGCGTCAGAGGACGAGGTAAAATTAGCGAGCAAATGGCTGCTTAGTTTGGTGACTTCCAAAGCTAGGTGTCCTTGAAAATTGCAAATTTACCTTTTGGTGCCTTTGATCTATGTTTTTCAGCGAAATTCACCCTGGAATGTGTTTCTGACTATGACAATTACAATCTTTATTCATCTATGAAAGGGAGAAATTAGTCTTGGTGGTTTACCATGACAGTGGATGTTACAAAGGTTAGGTGCACTCACGCAACAAGACTGGACATCGAATTTTATGTGCTGAAAAACTCAATAAAAGCAAAGCCAATGTAAACAGGACCTGCTGCAGGAGCAGTACCCCAAAAATATGTATATATATATCATTCCCAAAGAAAAAGTTAGATCAAATTTTCCAAACAGGTTGGAAATTTGTTTGTTTCTTTGATTTCATTATTTTGACGAGCGCCTGATTTCACTGCAATAACCCACTTTTATTTAAAGATCCTCTCCAGTTCACATATTATTGTTTTAAATCAAAGATAGTAAATAACAAGATGGTCCACTCAGCCAAAGATAGTACATAACAAGATGGGCCACTCAGCCAAAGATAGTACATAACAAGATGGGCCACTCAGCCAAAGATAGTACATAACAAGATGGGCCACTCAGCCAAAGATAGTAAATAACAAGATGGTCCACTCAGCCAAAGATAGTAAATAACAAGATGGGCCACTCAGCCAAAAAAGTGTCCGCAGGAAGTATGCTCTTGCTTCAGATGGCGCTGCAGTCTGTTTTGAAGCTCTCTTTCGTTTTTCCAGAAGAAGAATAGGAATAGCACCTCCTTGCATGCGCAGATCGACTGCTGTTCATTAGCAGTTCGGGTTCGTTCAGTACGGAGTTTTAGTTTTAAAAAATTTTAATGACCTCTCGCCTTTCATTCTAAAGTCAAATTAAACGAAGAAAACAATCACCCTTTCCTCCGGAAGAGGTTTTTTGTCAGCGTAACCATTTTAAAAAAGCGTTCTTCCGAAATTCATTCAAAAACTTGCTAGTTTCACTTTGATTTTTTAAACTCAAGTAGGATAACTCTGTTCGCTAAAGGTGCGCTTTTGCGAAGAGGGCGCCACCGAATTTGGAGGACACTTTTTTAATTGGCTCAAAGAGAGAAGTGGCCCCTCTTGTTATGTAGACTCTTTGTTTAAATCTAATTTAACTTTACATAGAATACCTTTACCATCACTTTTGTTTTTCCTAGTCTATATAATTATTTTGAGGGTAATACTAAAGTGTAAATGTCTACCAATCTGTCTTGAACTTTCGCTTGCTTTAACCATGAACAAAGGGGGCCCTTCTAAGAAAGAGGGTTACTTCCTCGCAGGAGGGCAATCTGTGCTGTTAACCAAACTATTCTACTGCTTCTTAACCCTATCCATACGCCTGGGGTCATTTTGTACCCCAGGGGTTGTATTCTCCCCATTTTAGAATACTTCTAGTGCGAAGATCTCTTTGAAGCTTTCAGTATTTCTCAAAAAATCATTTTGACAGATTGCTATGGATGCAAAGCGTACGGGTTGGATTAATGAGGAAATTTCCCCTTTGGAAAGTGGTGGCACAGAGTTCCCCACATCGTATGGATACGATAGTACACCATGACGTTCGGATAGGGTTAAGAAGGTGTCACTGGAGATGACATGAATCTTTGATGTATGAGAAAACCTAGGTTTATGCTTTAACGTTACCTTCTGGTGGAGAGTGCTTCTTGTTGTTGCTACAAGCAATCCATTTCAGTCGAAATTTTTGAGTGTTTTGTTATTTTCTATTTCTACACCCTCCCTAAGCTCTATCAATGATTTGAAACTTTTCAACATCACCAAAATGATATTTTATGTTATGGTCAAGGCTTACAACATTGCTTTTCATGATTCCAGTTAGGACCAACTGAATAAGCTTTCAGATGATATCAATAACTCTACGTACCTGCCCCAAAATTGACGAGCGCCTGATTCCACCGTGTCGTGACACATATACTGAAAACAGAGCTGGCATTCATAATTTGACACGACTTGCAGAAACAGGGAATAGAATTGTTCTTGATACCTAATTTTATAATCTCCTTCAGTTTGCATCAGTTGCTAATGTTTGCTGTTCTGTGTTCTGTTTCTTTCAGTCATTCCTCTCGACACAATGTTGGAAGGAGAAGATGGGATGAGTGATGAGACAGCTCAAGCACTTGAGGTTCTCCTGGGGACGTTTCCGGAAACCGACTTGAATGTCGTGACGAGGGCTTTGGCTTATGCCTTGAGTCTTGTCGGAGAAGGAGCGTTTAGCGCACTGGTGGAACATGCTGCGACCTACATTGTGGAGTCTGGTGAGGATTGGGAAGGGATCATGTCATTAACTCCTTTGTCTCCTCCTCTTCATCCCTCTTACCACAGGTACGACAGGAAGGATGATGTATGGCCACATGAATAAACCACTGGTCAAAGATCTAGCTAATCAATGAGTTGAGGAGGGGAGATCAATCCATAATCTTCCAACTTAAAACACAACATGTATCCCTCAATAAACATCTCAACCGAATTGGAGTTGTAAAGCAGTCTGCTGCCTGCCCACTATGTGACTACCCCTCAGAGACAGTGGAACATCATCTGTTCTTCTGTAGAAAACTAACTGATTTGAGGGGATGTTTTCTTCCCAAGCTACCCCACACATCTAACTGCCTCTACTCCTCAAGGCGAATATTAGAACAGACATGCAGCTATTACAGAGTGGCATCATGCAGAAGAGTTAACGCTCAGATGCTACTGGGTCGCTAACTACAACAACAACATCCTTCTTACTCTTCCTCCTCCCTCCTTTTTTTTCTCCTCCCTCCTTTTTTTTCTCCTCCCTTCTCCTCCTCCCTTCTCCTCCTCCCTGCCCTTCTCTTCCTTCTCTTCCTCTTCCACTTTGGTTAGTTAGTCCTAGAATTTATAATTCCCTCAAATTCTTGTGTTTTTTAAAAATCAAATTGCGACCGAGCTGTTTTACAAATTGTGAGACAGCGTGGTGGAATCAGGCGCTCGTCAAAATAATCAAAGTGAAGAAGCTTGCATTTTTCCGCAGGTTTGTGAATATTTATCAAATTTTTGTTTTTTGGCTTAACACCTTTCATGCTCATTAAAGAACTCATTTCTGTGTGGATTTTTCTGAAAAACGTTGATTAAAGGCACAACAAATATAAATTTTAAGTTACCATGGACTTTTAAACTAAGGAAATAACTAATCTTTTGCAGCCATTTTCTCATTAATTTTACCTCTGAAAACAGGTGATCCCCACCTCGTTCTTTCTCAAATATTTCGACTTGTATTTACAAGAAATGGATATTTCTTTCATCCAAATAGAAACAAATGAACAAGCTTCAAGAAGATACCAATAACTCAACATGCCCAAAAATTGACGAAAGCCTGATTCCACCACGCTGCCTCACAATTATAGTTAATGCCTAACAATTTATTTTGTTTCATTACTTTTATTGTTTGACTGTCCTGGGAAATGAAAATAGTCAATATCTTTTATGAAGTGGGTACAAATATATGTGTGTTTTTACTGTCATTTATGTACACTATTAGAAAGCTTTGTTATAATTTAATGTTTTGAAATATGAGCTTATGTGAGGCAACGTGGTGAAATCAGACGCTCGTCAAAATACAGAAATCGGAGAAACAGGCATTTTTCCAAATGTTTGGAAATCTTTATCTAATTTTTATTTTTGGGCTCACCCTCGTCTCTATCCCCATATAAAAACACATTTCCATGTGAATTTTACTGAAAAACATTGATTAAAGGCACAAAATATTTCTGTTTTCTGTTTTCAAGGAATCTTTAGCTATTACAGTTATTAAACTTTGGCGGGCATTTTTTCGCTAATTTTACCACTGAAACCAGACGACCTCACTTCCTTCAATCATAAATATCTTGAGTTCTATTATAGATAGATGGATATTTATTTCATTGAGAGCAAGGCAGATAATTCAGCTTTCAAGTGATACCAATAACTCCACTTTCCCAAAAATTGACGAGCGCCTGATTCCACCACATCATGACCCATATACAGTCGAACCTGCCCTGACGGCCACCTCTATAAGACGGCCACCTGTACAAACGGCGACTTTCCATTTCCCCCCTTGCGTTTTTTCTATATAATTTAACTGTGTAAAACGGGCACCTGTCCAACGCGGCCGCGGGGCCACCTTATTTCAACACACAACCCCTATCACACTAAGCAAAAACACCTGTCTTAGACGGCCACCTTAGTGACTCCATTACGTTTTGTCATTAATTGTGCATTGACCCCTGGCGTTGTGGGCGAGCTGTCATAATCTAATCACCTGTCGTTGCTATTAGGTAGTCCCTCCAACCGATCATGTTGTGTTGACCCCTCCCACTGTTGACCAATAGGTACCAATTTCCAGCTGCTGGTGAGGTAAGCGTGTGATCCCTCATAACCCATAAGCCCCGCCCAGAACTCATATACAAATCGTAAGTGAGATGAGTGGTCACTGTTTACCCAGTCTGTAACAAAGTAACAAAGGATGTCAACATGAACTTGTGACAGAAGCGTCTCTCGTTCTTCGAGTGGTGGCGACCCATAATATGTTTGTTTTACCATAGCACTCGGTCCTCCTTGTCTGACACATTTCATTTTATTGTTACCCTTGCACAAAATCAGCAACAAAATAAAAATAAATAAAATACAAACCAATAACAACAACAAAAACAACAATAACGCGGCTACTTTCGATTGGGAATGGGGTTTGTTTTCTTCATCTTGATCAGTCCTGCCTGAGACGGTACGGCCACCTGTCTTATATGGCCACCTGTCTTATACGGCCACCTGTCTTATACGGCCACCTGTCCCCTTGACAATGGGTGGCCGTCTTACACAGGTTTGACTGTAATTATGTTGGAGTAGTCCATTGATCGAAAATAATAATAATAATAGATAGCATTTGTATAGCGCATATCCCCGCTCAACAGCAGGCTCTATGCGCTTTACACTATATTATTACCCCAGCAGACCATAGAACACTCCGAAACATTCTCAGCTTCCCGGGAAGCATACAGTGCGAGCAGCCGATTAAGCGCTCAAACACTAACAAACTGACACGATCTTTCGCTGTCTATAGCCGGGTACCCATTCCCACCTGGGTGAAGTGAGGAAAATTCGTGTAAAGTGCCTTTCCCAAGGACACAACGTCGGGCCCCTCACGGGATTCGAACCCACGACCTTACGGTTGCGAGTCCGAGAGCCTAACCACTAGGCCACTGACGCCACATAGTGATTTTGCTTTAATGAAATAGCTTATGCATAAAAGCATTATTCATATGACCTTAGAGCATTCATCAGAATAACATTGAGTATGTATCTAGCTTAAGATTATTATTGTTTATATTGCTGCTCATTTATATTATGCATGTGATTGTAAACCTGCCTGTGTGTGCATGTATGTTTGTATGTGTGTGTGTGCATGTGTGTGTGCACATGGTGAAACACCAAACCAATGTGCCGGGATCTGGACTATAAATATGTATCTTATCTTATCTTATCTTATCTTATCTTATCTTATCTTATCTTATCTTAACTGTTATGATCTTTCCTGTTTGTAGCAGATCCTTTATTTTCAAGTCCAACTTATATGTAGTTAATATCTTTCTGTTTTAAATGAGATTGAGTTGTACTTGGTTGATGATATCAGTTAAGTGGGGGTTGTTTTTTTTACTTTCTCTTTCAGATTCCTCAGACTTGTGTGAATCATCGTCAGCATCATCGACATCTGGGGTTGCTATGGTTACTACAGATGACCGTTCTGAAGCAGGCTGTAGTACAACTAAAGTTTCGTCTCTGCAAACAGACAATCGTGCTCCAGTCGGCATTTCACACGGGAGCAGCTCCGACCACCCGAGGCTGTGTGTACACGATGGTCGAAATATAGGACCGTGCCACACTGACAGTGTTGGTGGTAAACCCGAAGTAAAAAATGTAAACCCTGTAGTTCGTAACGACGGTCCAGGTAAGAACATCATAGTTATTTCTCCCAATCCTTCTCCTCAGAAGGAGTGTGTGCTTGACCCTGTCAAGGATTCTGGTTTGCCACACGCTCAGAGGGAGTGGCTTTCCGCGGTGCCCAAGTGTGAGACTGAACCCTCTTTCAACGTAGAATTTTCTCACAGCGGAAGCAATAGTGTCCTCAAGGGTAAAATGGACACTTCTTCAGGGAATAGAAATGTTTTACCACCTAAAGCGCCGACTCATTTTTCAAAATCTAAGAGTGAAACCATGGGTAAAAGTGGAAACACGGTGGACCAAGAGTTTATCGAGGTGCACATGTGTGAGAGCAGAAACAGTGGTGGAACATCGCAGCCACTCACCCCATCTTCTATCAGCAAACAAAAAAGCTGCCCTAAATATCCCGCGAAAAACGCCCCGAAGAAATTCGCTGACTCTGTTGATAGGAGTGTGGAGATGATCGAGGACAATAAGAAGAAGACTTTTGGCCCCGGTGAAGATTCTGGAAGAGTGGCGGATAAGGACGACCTATGTCCCGGTAGACGTTTATCTCCCTCGCCTCGAGATCATAAGATCAATGTCGAAGAGAAGAGAAAGCTAAACTCCCAAAAGCCTGACACATCTGTGATCGATTTGACCAGTGATGATGAAAGCGATGAAGAAAACAATGAAGAAAGCGATGAGGAGAGGGAAAAAACTCTGTCATCTGGCTCAAATTCATCCTCCCTTGATAGTCTAGGCTGGCTCACACAGTCAACGCAGACCGTTCTCGATTCCGCGTCCCTGGAGATGATGGTAGAAAAGAAACCTTCACTTACAAACGACGCTGAATGCAGGACAGCAGCACCCACTGATGATGCTACCCAGAGTATGTTCGATGCTTCTCCCTCGGCCAGACATCAGATCCCCACGTGCGCTGTGGGTACTTCGTCTTTACCTCAGATTAAACAAGAGAAACCGACAGCTGAGGAGTCAGCGTCACACACTTCTGTTTCCTCCAGTTCACAGGAGGCTCCAGTTCAAACATCGTCATTTCTTGTTGTGCAGAGTCCTGACGGTGGTGTTGGTCCTAGCGGTGCCCATATTGTCAGCTGGTCAGCTCAAGAAGGAAATGCAACCTCTTCGGTGGAGGGTACACGCCTACGAACGGCAGAACAAGCACAGACATGTGTTGACACTTCCTCTGTGTCTTCATCGGTGTCTTCATCGGTGTCTTCATCGGTGTCTTCCTCTGTGTCTTCATGTGTGTCTTCAGGCGTGGACAAAGCCCTCCCCTCCACCTCTCAGCAAGGTGAACACATATCATCTCTACCATGTCCTCCTTTACACCAAAGCGTTAGTTTGTCGATAAAAGTGGAAAACTCGGAGTTACTCGGAGCATTACCCCAGATTAATCAACATCTCCAGCTCCCTTTTCCACAATCTTCCTCATCCTCGGAGTTACTCGGAGCATTACCCGCCCAGATTAATCAACATGTCCAGCTCCCTTTTCCACAATCTTCCTCATCCTCGCTTCTGACAGGGTCAGCGGGGAAAGACGCACAGTCAGGTAATACCGTGGCAAGATTGAGCCAATCAGCCCCAGTGAATCGACAGCGGCGGTACAAAGTGACGACCAAACAGCTGAGCAGCATGCTGGATGGCTTGGCCAACAGTCTCCAGGTGTCGCGGCCTTCCCCTTTAGGTATACGTTCTCATATATATCGTAGCCTGAATCACGTACTATCGTAACCGACAAAAATGGGGTTTCGAGCTGTAGTGGTTTAAGGTTTTGTGCAATTTTTGAAATCCTGTTGTAAATGAACTGAACATAATGTGTGTCGCCACAGTGAAATCAGGCGCTCGTCAATTTTTGGGCATGTGGAGTTATTGGTGTCATTTTAAAGCCTGTTCATTGGCCTTGCTTTTGGTTTTTTGAAATCTTTCCATATACGTTGAATAGAAGTCGAAATATTTGCGATTGAAGGAGGTGAGGGTCGCCTGATTTCAGAGGTAAAGTCAGTGAGAAAGTGGCTGCCAAAGTTATGTGACTTCAATAGTTTGAGAGTCCTTGGAAACAGAAAATTTACCTATTTTGTGCCTTTAATCACCATTTTTCTGTAAGGTCCACAGAAGAATATGTTTTTAAATGGACATGAAAGGTGTTGAGCCAAAAAAATAAAATGAAAAAATTGCCTGATAGCCAGAAAAATGCCAATTTCTTTGATTTCATTATTTTGATGAGCACCTGATTTCACCGTGATGCATCACATATATCGTCGCCTCAGGTACTATCGTTACCGACAAAAATGGAGTTTCGAGCTACGGTGGTTGAAAGTTTTGCACAATTTTTCAAATCCTCTTGTGAATGAGCGGAACATAATATCTTATTGATTTTTCATCATCATCAATGCCTTTCACCCCTGGCAGGGTATAGGCCACATACAAGCTCCTTCCATTTATCTCTGTCCTGAGCCATCCTTCCTGGCTCGTTCCAAGTGAGCTTCATTTCTCTCATGTCCCTTTCCCTTTCGGCTTTCACTGCCTTGCATCATAAACTCTCCATTTGGAGAAGATCCACGATCAGCCAAGCAGAGATAATGGTTTTTGCTTGTATGTGTTTCTGTAACAGGTTCTTTTTACGAGAGAGGTTGTTAGCCTCGTGACTCAACCCCCGACCTGGAGGCAGGATGACTCTGTTTTAGGAGTCACTACCTGGTTCGCCATTTAGTCGCCTCGTACGAAACGCTAGCACCACGTCAGTCCTATTCTTCTCAATGCCGAGACTGCACGGCTATTGATTTTTGCTTTGTATATATAGACTTTCTGCTGCCATATTTTGTGTCACTGCTTCAGAAAATCAATTTATTTAATGATAAAATAACCATTTTTGTCACTTACGTTAGTATGTGAATGCAGCGTATGTAGCAGTACAGTCCTTTACGCTACACAATATGTGTAACGTCGTGGTGGAATCAGGCGCTCTTCAAAATATTGAAATTGTAGAAGTCGGCAATTTTGTGCCAGTTTTGGCAATTTTTATCGAATTTTGTGTTTTTGGCTGAACACTTTAAGCATCTAATTAAAACATATTTCGGTGTGGATTTTACAGAAAAGCATGGATTAAACGTACAGATATTGCAAATTTTCTCTCAATCTAAGGAAGTTACCAAACTTTGGTGGCTGTTTTCTTGCAATTTTTTTTCTCTTATACCAGGCGACCCCACCACCTTCAATCGAAAATATCTTGACCTCAATTCAAGATAGAGGGATATTTTTTTCGCCAAATGCAAAACAAATGAACAAGCTTTGACATGGTATTTGTGGCGTCGGTGGCTTAGTGGTTAAGCTCTCGGACTCGCAACCGTTAGGTCGTGGGTTCGAATCCCGTCAGGGGCCCGACATTGTGTCCTTGGGAAAGGCACTTTGCACAAATTTTCCTCACTTCACCCAGGTGGAAATGGGTACCCGGCTAAAGACAGTGAACGATCTTGTCAGTTTGATAGTGTTTGAGCGTGTGAAATCCGCAGCTTGCACTGTATGCTTCCACGGAAGCCTAGTATGTTTATGAGTGTTCTCAGAGGGTCTGCTGGGGTAATAATAGTTGTAAAGCACATAGAGCATGCTCTTGAGCATGGATATGCGCTATATAAATGCAATTATTATTATTATTATTATTAATAACTCTAGATGCCCAAAAATTGAGGAGCGCCTGATTCCACAACGTCGTGACACATATGGTCCTTACGATAGTTCAAACAAACCGTAAAGTTACAGTTACGTTCTGTTACTTACGATAGTTCAAACAAACCGTAAAGTTACAGTTACGTTCTGTTACTTACGATAGTTCAAACAAACCCTAAAGGTTACTTACGATAGTTCAAACAAACCGTTAAGTTACAGTTACGTTCTGTTACTTACGATAGTTCAAACAAACCGTAAAGTTACAGTTACGTTTTGTTACTTACGATAGTTCAAACAAACCGTAAAGTTACAGTTACGTTCTGTTACTTACGATAGTTCAAACAAACCGTAAAGTTACAGTTACGTTTTGTTATTTACGATAGTTCAAACAAACCCTAAAGGTTACTTACGATAGTTCAAACAAACCATTAAGTTACGGTTACGTTCTGTTATTTTGAAAGAAAAAAGCATGGTGAGACATTTTACCAGTATTTATTGGTGCTTGAGTTTAATTCCTACGTTGGGAGAAAATTTTTGCAGAATATCTCGGTCTTTGTGCTGGGATGCTGCATTCCTCGCAGCCGGGGTTGGCCTTGACAGGCAGGGTCGGAAGCCCGCCTCCTAGTTGATCTAAATTATGTCGATGGTGTAAAAACACTTTCATTCAACAAATTTTAATTTCTTATAATTTTGTCGTGAACAAAGCACTTCTCTGTCACACTAACGTATGTTATGTTTCCGTGCTTCATTTCCAATCAGATATGGACACATGTGAAGGTGCGTCTTCGTCACGTTTACCAGCTTCATCACTGCAAAAACCCAACGCTCAGGGCGCTGTGAAGGACTCTGAAGCTACCAAGCGCTCCACAAGCATGCACAAGAACCCAACTCCGACAAAAAAGCAGCGCAAGGTGAGTTGTTTGACATACTTGTTTACTTGTGTGAAGGACCGACATCACTGCACAAGGGGCATTCCCATAAGCGCTCCGTCCCCTGAAGAAGCACATCTCCAAGTGTGTAGATGCTGACGGTTCCAAGCAATGGTTGATTCCATAGCCTTCTGCTCCTCCCTCTAAGTCTTGAACTTCTGCAGGCGCCCTATCCAATTCCAAGCTCACGAAGTCGCTCAAGATGATGATATTCCGATTCTTCTTGTTCTTTTTCTCGATTTTCCCTGACTGAACGTACAATTTCTGGTTTGTCAGGGCACAGCTTCCCTTCAGGTTTTGCTTTCCCAGCGAGCTCATCAGCCCGCTCATTGCCCTTGACTCCAGCACGACCCGGGATGAAGATCCACGTGATCTTTTTCAGTGTTGTCTTCTTCAGGAGCTCTGTTTGACATAGAACTGCAGTGTCTGTAGACTTTAGAACGATAAGTATATGTATCACAGCGCGGTGAAATCAGGCGTTCGCCAATTTTTGGGCATATGGAGTTTTTGGTATCATCTTAAAGCTTATTCATATGCCTTGCTTTCAATGAAAAAACTATCCATTTATCTCGAGTAGACGTCGAGATATTTGCAATTGAAGGAAATGGGGTCAGATGTAAAATTAGCTAGAAAGAGGCCGCCAAAGTTTGGTAACTTGCATAGCTTAAAAGTCCTTGGAAACTTCAAATTTACATTTTTTTCGTTCCTTTAATCAACGTTTTTCCATAAAAGCCACTCATAAAAGTGTTTTTGAATGGACATGAAAGGTGTTGAGCCAAAAAGGTGGCATAATTCAATAAAAATTGCCAAACCGGTGGAAAAATGTAATTTTCTTCATTTTCATTATTTTGACGAGCGCCTAATTTCACCATTCTCCCTCACATATTATTATGTTCAAAGCGGCCAATTATTTTGCACAAAACACATTGAATATGTTTCCCAGGATCTGGGTACAGAAATCAGTTTTCATCATCTTTGAAAATAATAATATGTATTCTGTGTTTTCTCGTATTGCTCCTCAGAGACTTGTCAATGCTTAACCCCCTTATGACCGCTCCCGTACACTGTACGTCCAATATTGTGATACCCCCGGGGCGGTGCTACTGACTGAAGTGTCTTTAGGGCATTCCCAAAGGGGGGACATTAACTTGTTCTTATACACAGTAGAATTGTATATGGGCTGATTCATCAATGTCATGCTCATAACTGTGCCTGAACTGCAACAGGGAACTGCTGCGTTTTCTTTCCTAATCCTTACTATCGTCATTTTTTCCTCTACTTCTTTTGTATGTTTGTCACACTCTTGTGACCCGCTATTTCCGGGATGCCTTGATAGTCGAAGCAGACCTTGTGCTGTTGAAGCTAGAGAGGTGAGCAGAGTAAGCCTGATTCCCTGTAAGGACTTCTCGGTTGACATCCACCCCTTGGCGCCCATATGCCCTTATGCAGTTCCGAGCGCCGTAAAACCTCTACTGAAACAAAAAAAGAGTTAATATGTCCAGCCTTGTATGATTTTCCTATGACTGCTTCAGGCGAGAATTCCTGGATTGATAATTTCTTAATAATAATAATAAGAGCAATTTGTATCCCGCCTTTCCCCACAACATGGGCCCAAGGCGTACATAGGAGATTAAAAACGCATTCTTATAACACCATACAAATTCATCATGTGCGCACTTTTTGACAGCAACATTCTTTCCGACAATACAAAACGCTCATACTAAAAGGCAAAGGTACTGTCTATTTCTTCCCCTTTGATCGCGTCCCGTGTTAACGTGGCTGGCGGCACAGGTAAGGGACCGGCTCAGTTACTGCGACTCGGAAGCGCATGGATCAGACGGCACGTCGGAGGATGAGGGGAAAGTGATTGGTGCCTTGGTCACAGTGGACTCAAGTGACGAGGAAACTCAGGAATTTGCCAGACAAAGAGGTGAACATTTCTTTTTTTTTTACCCTATCCGTACGCCCTGGGGTCATTTTGTACCCCCGGGGTTGTATTCTTCTCAATTTAGAATACTTCTAGTACGAAGATCTCTTTGAAACTTTCAGTATTTCTCAAAAAATCATTTTGACAGACTACTATGCAAAGTGTACGGATTGGATTAATTAGTAAATTTCCTCTTTGGAAAGTGGTGGCACAGAGTTCCCCACGTCGTATGGATACGTTAGTAAAACACGACGTACGGATAGGGTTAAGTGGTGGCACAGAGTTCCCCACGTCGTATGGATACGATAGTAAAACACGGCGTACGGATAGGGTTAAGTGGTGGCACAGAGTTCCCCACGTCGTATGGATACGATAGTAAAACACGGCGTATGGATAGGGTTCATGTAGGTGTTCGACTGAGCCATTAAGAAAGCCAGCAAGATCTCTGGATATGATTTTACTAGAATTGATGAAATGTATAACACCACATGTATAAGAAAGATAGAAAGCTTTATAAACGACCATCACACCCCTTTCCACGCAAATTGTAAGATCACGCAGCGGCAGATATGTACCTCTAAAAACAAAGAAAGAAAGAAAGATATAAAAGAAGTTTTTTACCATCTAGCATAAGGCTATTGTCAGAATAAGCATCAGTGTGTATTGCTCTTTCGAGTATGTATCTATATAACTCTAAAGGTCTTGTAATTAAATTCCTGCATGTGGTTGAATGATGCATCTGATGTGAATGTACATTTTGTCAGCTGTACTTCTGTTTTCATATTGAATTTTAATTAGAGTAATATATAATAATATATATAATATATATAATATATATATAATAATATATAATAATCGTTTATAAAGCTTTCTATCTTTCTTATACATGTGGTGTTATACATTTCATCAATTCTAGTAAAATCATATCCAGAGTTTTATGTATACCTGCATGTGTTTTTACGGTCCTGTACAGCCAAGAAAAATTTCCCCCTGGGATAGTAAAGTATTATCTTCTCTTATCTTATCTTATTGCACCCCTATCGACACAATTTAGATCATTTAGGAGGCAGACGTCCGAGCCTGTTTGTCGGGGCCACCCGTGGCTGAGAGGGATACAACATACAAACTGAGAGATTGAGCTACTCCATAAAAACTTCGCCCCTCTCGGGAGTCAAACTCAGGTCTCTTACTTGCCACAGTGGACTGCTTAACCGCAACAGCACAGATGCTGGTACAGATCTGTCAGGAAGTTTGTTGTGGAGTTCCCTCCCCTTCCTTATAGTTTTATTGCATAGAGCTTGCTGTTGAGCGGGGATTTACGCTATACAAATGCTATCTATTATTATTATTATTATTATTATAATTATAATTATTATTATTATTATTATTATTAATGTTAATTAAAAGGTTAAGAATCCGATATAGATCTCACCATACATCAAATGTGAGGCAGCGTGGTGGAATCAGGCTCTCGTCAATTTTTGGGCCTGTAGATTTATTGGTATCATCTTAAAGCTTGTTCAGTTGTCTTTATTTGAGTGGAAAAAAAATCTATATATCTTGAATACAAGTCGAGATATTTGCGAATGAAGGAGGTGGGAGTCACCTGTTTTCAGAGGTAAAATTAGTGAGAAAATGGCTGACAAAGATTACTTATTTTCTTAGCTTTAGAGTCCGTGGTAACTGTAAATTTACATTTTTTATGCCTTTAATCAACGTTTTTCAGAAAAATCCACACACAAATGAGTTCTTTTATGGGCATGAAAGGTGTTGTGCCAAAAAACAAAAATTTGATGAAAATTCACAAACCTGTGGAAAAATGCAAGTTTCTTCACTTTGATTATTTTGACGAGAGCCTGATTCCACCACGCTGCCTCACAAATATCGACTAAGCCTCACTTCAGGCTGACTGTAAAATCAACAATGCTTAGGACTATTCAGTAAAGTGGTGAAGAACAGAAATCTTCTTTTCTGAAAACTGGAAAAAGAAAAAAATGGATATTTTGTTATGTTTTGTGTCGAAACTGTGTTTTAGCGCCTATGTGGCAACTTGCACCGTATGCTTCCCAGGAAGTTGATGTTGTTACAGAATGCTCTCAGGTCTGCTGGGGTAATAGTATAGATTGTGAAGCACATAGAGCTTGCTGTTGAGCGGGGATTTGTGCTATACAAATGATGTCTATTATTACACATATGTATGACAACGTGTGTCAATTCTACCCCGGGCCGCCTCCAGAAGACGTGGTCCTCTCGTGTGAAGGTTGCGAGAGCATCGCGTCCGTCCAGATGTGTGGTCAGTGCGCCCACGGCCATGTCGTCTGTCTCTCCTGCCTGGAAGAAGAGGTCCGGGTCGTTATGGCGTCCGACAAGGTAGGCTGGTTATTGATGATGATGATGATGATGATGATGATGATGATGATGATGATTTTTTTTGTTTCCTTAATGGGCCTGACGGACTTCACAAAGAAATCTTCGAGCGAGAGCGAGGCTCTTTTTCAGCTCCATTGTCAATATGCTTAGCTGCACCTCCACTCATCCAAATAACTCGATTCAAATTGCCATTGTTCCTGGACATTCAAACATATGTTTGACATCCTCCTTTTCATGGCCGCATCTTCGGCAACATGGGCTTAGCTCTTCATTTACCAAGTTCTTATACCATCTTAAGCTCCAATGATGGTCCGACCGCAGTCTCGCTAGTTGTTCCGGCTTATAGGAGTACCCAGAATACACATGTTCCAGGTGCTGGTACTTAGTTCTACATGGTGGGTCTCTCATTTCCCTCTCGATCATTGGAAAGACTCTTCTGTATGTTGTTAGTCGTCTGTCTCCTTCAATCTCTCTGGCTGTGGGTGGTTGGCGGGTGCTCTGGTGTGGTTTGCTCCTTCTTTTCTCTTAAACATCTATCGTCCTTATCTCCCCTCCTTCTTTTTTACGTTTGTTGTTACTCTCTTGTAACACCTCTAATCTTCGGCACTTATATGACCTTATTGTGTTGCAAGTGCCGTAAAACTCTTTACTAAACTAAACTAATCTCTCTGGCTTCATTAGCAGCTTGGTCTCCAAGAACGAATAGTGACACATAAAGTGACGTTGTTTTCTGACAGGAAATCTTGTATATCTCTATAATCTGTTTATAGAAATAACGTAAGCTGAGTTTTGAATAATTTACAAGATTTGATCTCTTTTTTAACTTATCAGCTCGGCCTGGGTACGTCATTACAGACAGGGTTGAACGCCTGCCTCCTAAATGATCTAAAGTGTTGGGGGGGGGGGGTTTTTTGGTTTATTTTTGGTAAGTGTTTTACGGCGCTCGCAACTGCAAAAGATTATATGAGCGCACGGGACACACCAAACATTTTCAGTTGGTAGGAAATTTTGAATTTTGCCCGGGTGGCGGCCGAAGCCCACTCTTATCGATTTTAGACCACCCAGGGATCTTTGACGTGCGCAACTTGCACACGGGCCCACCGAGATTTTTCACCCTGGTCCAAGAAGGCTAGGTGTAGATCTTTCCTACCAGAAGATCAGGGGTGTGGCTGAGAGACAGCTGTAAGAAGGGACCAAGGATGATCTGAAGTGTGCCAACGGAGGTGAAAACACCTATATTTAAAAAAAAAATTGAAACAAGTCCGACTATAATTTGTTTCACGACGCCATGAAATCAGGCGCTCGTCAATTTTGGGGCATATAGAGATATTGGTATCATCTTAAAGCCTGTCCATTTGCCATGGTTTTGATGAAGAAAATATCCATTTATCTCGGATAAAAGTTGAGATATTGGCTGTCCACGTCGTTTTATGCACCCTGCATAATTTAGCAAAATTTGATCATTTTTTTGCATAATTTCTGATTATTTTCCTTTAGCATTCTTTGTTAAAATTAACAAGTCGCATAATTTCACATTTTTAGGCTCAGTTTGCATAATTTCAGAATTTTTCTTGTATAAAACGACGGGGACAGTATTGGCAGTTGAAGGAGATGGGGGGGTCACCTGGTTTCAGAAGTAAAATTAGTGAGAAAAAGACCGCCAAAGTCGAGTTATTTCCTTAGCTTGAGATTCTGTGGAAATTGAACATTTACATCGTTTATGGCTTTAATCTGTTCTTTAACAGGCATGAAAGGTGTTGAGCCAAAAAACAAAAATTCAAAAAAAATTCCCAAACCTGCGGAAAAATCCCAGTTTCTTGACCTTTGTTATTTTGACGAGCGCCTGATTCCACCATACGGTCTCACATTCGTGCTTTTTTCTGTCCCCCAGCTTCATTTGACCTGTCCTGTCCATGGTTGTGAGCAAATCATCAGAAGAGGTGAGTCAGTAAGTGAAGAATTTCTGGTAAATATATTGCTTACTTACTTACTTACTTGGTTGGAGAATAGGCATCATTGCAGACGGCACAATGCCATAGCTGCTCCTCCCTCCTCTCCAGGATCCATGAAAGGGTCTGCTTGCTGATCGTGCCACTTATCAGCTGGTTGGATATTCTTCTGGCTTTTCCACGCAGGTCGCTGTCTCTCTCCGACCCTCTAGAGACACCAGCTTCCCTCAGTCTATCCATTGTGTGTGAAGTAGGTGAATATATAGCGATAATAATGATGATGATAATAGTAATTGGAATATCTATGACGCATATAGAGTTGTGGTTCATAAGACGCATGCTGCGTATCCCATGGACAGCTAGAAAAACAAATGAAGAAGTCTTGGTTGAAACAAATTGCAGAAGATAGCTTTTGACGAATATAAGAAAGCGACAGGCAAATTTCTTCGGACACATAATGTGGAAAGAAGCATTGGAGAATATTGTAACGACAGGCAAGTTTGATGGAAAGAGAGGCAGAGGCAGACAGAACAAACGTTCCATTACAACTGTACTTGTAGCCTACTAAAAGAGTACAATTTTGTCTGTGGGCAGTGGAGAGAGAGAGAAAGAGAGAGAA